GTCAGTCCAACCTTCTCTTTAATATATAATGCGACACATATGTATGGATAAGTGGGTGTTGGAGAAAGAAGGAAAAGAACTCAAAGATTAGTAATAGAGTGTCATTTTTTATACCTTCTTCCACTTGCAATCAAATTGGCGTCAGCATATCCGTGTCTCAGAAGGTAATTCATACAAATCTTTTGATATAGCTTGACGTTTGCTTTATATTAACGTATCCAACGAAAACTTTTCGTTGAATTATGGGGGATGTCATATCGATATTAATATAAATTTGACACTTGTTGTATTAACATGACCTTAGAACATTCTCTGATGAGAGAATATGCATGCATCGCATGATTGTGAGTGATCTTTCCTAAATGGGTAAACATTGCGAACAACTGACGTTTATGAGTTGGAACAGTCATTTTATATTGGCTTAAACGAATATAGTAATAGTAATAGAATAATTAATGTTTAATATCCAAGCGAAATTTTCCTGTAATAATAATACGATGATAAATAATCTATACTGTGTTATACAAAAAGTCATTTCGAAGGTAAAGCTGATTATTTCTATCATGTACATTTGTACAGCGCTGATTGCAATGATGGACGAAGTGTGCATTGCTAGCATGATCCACAAACGATATTGGGTAGATGCGTCGCCATTGCACTTCCTCTGGGCCATGCAGCTTATAATACGGACATTCTAACAATTCATCCTTATAACCAGTTGCCTGAAACCAGTCGATTATTAGAAATACGTATCTGTTTGTGTTATTTGCCATATGGCAAAAAATTGCCCGAATTATAGCAAACGCTTTCTCTTCTTCCATGTCAATTACGTTCCCTACCTGTAGCGTTATTCGTTTTTTTGCATCTTCATCATCCAGAACATCATTACGAAATGCAATCATAAAATTGCAGGCGATTGTTAACTAACATCCCCTTCATACCCATATCGTCCGAATATGCTGCAGAAAGATGACAATGCAAAGGATTGTCCATATCTAACTTTTTTTGGAAACCCGCTTTAACTATTTGTGTAAATTGCATAATCTTATATTTATATAGTAAGGATCATGCGATATAGCAAGAGTTTCTTAAAAAATAAATTTATGTCAGAGTAATTCCATATAGGCAGCACTATGATTATAAATACTAACCTTCAGCATCAGTATTATTTTCCTCTGATAAGGGTTCCTCAGTTGCATACCAGTTAGATAACAATTTGTGCAGCAATTCCTTAGATGGTACTTTTGCGATCCACTTCATATTTGGAAAACGTGGATCCTCCCCTCCAACCATCAAATGGCGAAGTGATTGGACAGTATTGTACCTTTTTCACAAGATCCATTTCAACGTTCTTATGTCGTACCACTCCTTTGAATATGCGATGGACCATTTCTTTTACTCCCACTGATGTATTGACAAGCGTTGCAAATTTTTTAGCGTGTTTTGGCAAATGGACATTTAAATGAAGATTTGGCATATTACCAAAATCTTCGGGAAAGACCTGAATTAAATTATTTCATTCAGTTAAATTATTCAAAAAATGTTTTCTAAATAACAAATATATCAAATTACCTCAATTAGAATGTGACTCTGTTTTTTCAATACATTTGTAAGGGTTCGATAATCACCTTCAGTCATTGTGCTTGAAAAAGCAATTTTTAATGCTTTGCCTCAATTACCCAGGCTTTCACTATTTTGAGCGGAATTTGATCGACACGTGACAGATTTAAGCGTTGTTTAATGGATGTCAACACATCGCTTTTTATATGACGCCATGTAAGGAAGCGTCTGAGGATAAAAGCATCAGCATTGCTAGTCGAAATATATCTGAGAACATAAAGCTCTGCCTATGCAATACGGGATTTGGTAATTTTGACCATTGCGGCGGTTTTTCTATCGACTTCCAGTGATATAACTATTCTGATTCACCATTTGAAGTCAACAAACTAAAAGTCGTATCCAAAAGTCTCCGTGTTTTGCCACCTATCGCATGGTATGCATCATGAGGCGTTTGCGTATGACAGACGGTCGTGGACCCAATGACAACCCGTACTTGTTAGCTTGTTGTTCTCTAGCGGTCATGGTCGGTAATGCTATTGTTTCCGTGTATTGACAATCCGTTATCTGTCTAAACCGGGCACCGGATAAGTAATCAAAATGGCTATCTGTCAATTGATTTTGGTGTGCAAAGCAAGTGCGACAATCAAAATTTGCATCGTGTCTCTTAATCCCTGCTAAATCGTTTCCCTGTGGAAGATCTGCTGTGATACAGCCAATGCCGCCTGTGACACAGTAATATTGCGTTCCGGTGTTGACCATAAAACCCTACTCAAGCAATTTAATCTCATGGCGAAGTGGACCAAAGAATTCGTAAATATTACCCCCAAATAGCACAAATCCGAGCAAAAAGTGATTTTTTAGTTGTTTTCTTAGTCTATGCAGCATATTACCAAACTGTAAATAAACACCACCAAGTGCATGATAGACGTTCCAAAATCGTCGACATAAATGTCCAAGAAAAATTTTCTAATTGGTACATTCAATGGAGGGTGCTGTGTATTTGTAATATACTCGGGAGATTTTACGTATTTTCCAGGTATCATTTAGACGATATAAAATTTCCCTTACAATAAAGTCATATTCTGTGGGCGCTGGGCTGTCACATAGCCAAACATTGACTTTTCCTATGACGTCTTCTTTTTTGACTATAAAGGGGAAATCTTCAACCAATCATAATGTTTGTTTTGATTTACTGCTCGTTTTGAACTATGCAGATGTCCAGGAATTCGTGAATATGTGACCAATTCATCAATCTTCAAGCAAAATTCACCTTCCATCATGACAACTGATCGAATACGAGCCAAAATGTTCCGACTTTGTGAATGTGTTTGTTGGCGACAACGTATGAAATCACCTGAATAATAAACAGCTGGTATAAAGAAATTTAAATTAGATTGTGTGCCACAGAGTCAAATCAAATAATTATAAAAAGACAACCGCTGTCAATCTTTAAATGATCTTTTCCAAATAGGGGCGATTCCTTCCATGACAAAAAATAAACTACAACCAGCAGAACTTTTAGGCCCCGAGATGGGAAATGAGAAATTCCTGAAACCAATTCAGATCTGAAGCGGAAAAGTGTTGCGTGGCAGTAGTTAGTCTGGTAAACAACAATTTTATGTGTATTTTTAGATGATATCCATCTGATGTCTTAACGTTCGATTATATAGGATGCGACTTGGCTCCGGCCAGTGACTTCTATTTGAATGGGCAGAGAATGGGAACTTGTCCACATATGTGGAGACAATTTCTTCATTAAACGTGTTGATTGGAGGGGAGGGAAAAGATTAGGATCTCATACGAGATTGCTATGAGGTATGAGGGTAGC